TAAACACCAAAAAATTTTTTTGCCGCTTATAATATTAGAGATTAATTGAAAAAAAAAAACTGATATAAATTTTACGGAAATGGGATTTACGAATGCGTTGTAACTCGGCTAAAAATAGCGGGAAATATAGGTAGGTGAAAATATTCGCCTAATCGCAATAATACTCCTTCCTTACAATCTATTGCAATTACAATGTAAAGCGAATGTTTAAAAATCTGACCTGTTGACTGCACTATTTAAGTAGTTTTAGTTCACCTTCCACACTTTTAGTTGTAATAATAATAGCAGTCCTTATCTATCAACATAAGATATATTACGTATCTTATTACGTGCCATTACAGTGACGCCAGCAAAGCTTTCCTCGACTTGATCTGTGAGTGAGAAAAATCGCTGCAAAAGTGGATATCAGACAACATTAATATGATGATCGGCATAAGCCACATATTTACTTATAGGCGCCGCCAGTTTTCGGAATGCCGCCACTATAAAAAAAATATATTCAACATACTTAGTACCAATTTGGTTAGTAACTTAAAATATCTGAGGCGTTACAGTGCATTTAAGACAGGCATAACTTACGTTGAAAAGACATTGTCAGGGTTTAGTTCGAGTTGGTCAGTGTCACTGTTATAGCATTTAATAAGAACTCTTATAAAAAAATAACATTTGTTTGGAACCATTTTACATGAAAATATAATCCAATCGATGTGTTCAAATCTGTGCAGGTAATTTAACCTCCAAACTTGTTGTGCAATGAACAGGAATGTAAGACTGTTTCACTTTTAACCGCATTCAATTTTGCTTTCTATTGTCTTCGCGACGCGGTTAAAAATGAATCTAAGGCCAAATATTATATTGGCCTCAGCGTTTAGCGAAACAAATGTTAAACTAAACGCTCGAATAAATACTGCAGTATTATTTCAGTGTTCCTTAATGTTTTGTTTGATTCTGGATTTATCGATATTTTAATATCGACATCTAAGCTACTCTTGTTCTGTCAAATATGACATTTTTATTTTTTTAATTCTTCGGACACTGTAATGATATTGCAATATTGGTATTGGGTGGATTTGTTAAAAGTTTACAAAAGGAGAATGGTATGTGATTATTAAGATACGTCACAGTGTGGCTTCTAGTAGTATATTCGCTTCTGTGTGTACCTATTGAAAATAATACTTTAAGTTTCAAACGGTATCACCGCCATTTAAATCGAAATTAGGTATTTTTTACCTTGATGAAGTTCTATTGGCAAAAATGGCTGTCATATCCTTTGAATTCGGGGCAGAAATATATTCATGTCTAAGAAAAACACAATTTTCGACTTGTTTATGATATCAACCGTAGCGGATGTAATTATTTTTTTCATTGTAATTCAAAGTAATATTTCTGCGTTATTAACGCTTAAATGTGATTTCAAAAAATCAAAATGTTAACTACAAATAACGTTCCTCTTCAGAGCGCTGTTTTTACAATAATTAGTTTCTAAACGTATCTGTCATATAAATGTCACAAGAAACATTACTTAACATAAGGCTGCCACTAGACGATCAATCCGGCGTCGGTTCAACTCGCGAATTTGGTTTGATCGATAATTTGGTGCTAATTGAAGCTAGAATGATTCATGCGTCTTTTATATTGCAGAATAAGTTCTTTTTGTTTTCAGAAATCTGATGGCAATCTATTTCATCTTGCAAATGTCATCAATCTGTCAACGACAATTTCTTCAATTTTTTTTTCTTATTACTTCGTGTGAAATAAGATTTTTTGGAAAATTTGTCATCGTAGTATATAAGTATTCAATAAATCTGTACATGATATGAGTTCCAAATTTTATTTCTGTTGTAAATTTAATTTCGATAATTAATATTAAATCATTGTTATATTTTAAGCTTTTCATGTTTATTTTTCTAAATCCATCTAGTTTTATTTATTAAGCGGTTTTCCTAATTTTGCATCGGCCAAATCTTGAGCCAAAACTGACACCATATTGATCTTTGAATTACTCTGACTGGACTAATAATTAATATATTACCTATATATGTATTAAAATAATATCTTAATGATTTATAGTCTCAGAGACCGTGACAAAAATGTGCAAGTTTCTAAAGCTTGATATTGTTATGTTACGATTTTTGGTATTCCACATTGCCCGGCAGCCATCAGGTGTTCTAGCACCTGACCTCCGCACTGAGTACTTCAACATACTGAAATGTCAAGCTTTAGAAAGCTCTTGCACATTTTTGTCACTAGGTCTTCGTCAATTAGTTTTTTTGGTGGTATTGGGTACTGGTAACATTAAAAAATACATATATATAAATGGTAGATTAAATTCTTTAAATTAATAATAATACAAACACAAGTTTTTGAATGAATATTAATTTACATATTTGCCATAATGTGCTAAGGATCCTGTAATTGATATTAAACTCTATATGCTAACAGGGTTTGTAATTATCAAGATAATTACTTTTTTGATAATTATAGATAAATATCTGATAATTATCGGTGGTTACTGGTTACAAATTTTAAAATACAGAAAGGCTTAAATAACTTTTATTTTTGTTGCTTTAAATCATTAAAATATATTCAAACCACAATGAATAAAACGAAAATCGTCCTAGACCAGCCATACTCAACCTGCGGCCCGCCGGGCCTTTGTGATTGGCCCACTTGGAATTTTAAAACTTTGACTAAGTTTTAAAATGTCGCGCCCATCAGAAAAATTGTTGAAAGTTTGCTCTATCAAAGTTGGGTCATCATAATTATTCATCATAACCTAATATTATAAAGGTTACAAAATTATGTATTGTATAGTTGGCTTTATTGTGACCACCTTTTCTTTTTTCAATAAATATATATATAATAGCCACTTTGGGATTATGTTTTTTTAACACCTACATATTTTTGCGGCTTGCGCTTCAAGATTGAAACATGTTTGTGCCCCATTAAAAAAAAGGTTGAGTGTGGCTCTCCTAGACAATTCTCTATATAAAAAAAAAAACATTTGATAGTTGTTAAAAGATTATTCCCCTTGAATAACAAGTTCTAAAGTACGCAAAGAGTTTGTGTGGTGTTTTACAAATTATTAAGATAACTAACATTCCGAACCCTGCTATGTAAGTGATAAACTTTATTGTTCTAGTACCCAAATATGTAATGAGAAAAACTACGAAAGTTGACGAACGAAATAAAGGAATATAGAATTAGATGTTGTTTCATTAATTTGTTTTTTTTTATTCACCTATAAACCAAACTAGTTTACCGCCAACTTCACTTGCGTGGTTTCTAGGGAACTGTTTAGCGGGATAAAAAGTAGCCCATATGTTTATCCTGGCTTAGGATTTATTTATTATTTCATTTGGATAAGGTTTCATATCACGACACTGATATAATCACAATGCCAATTTAAATAGTAAAAAATGGTTAGTATGGTTAAAATGGTATTTTTAAGTCCCTTTACAAACTTCTGCTCCAATATTTATCCTTTTATTTGCTGTTTTCCTGGATAAAATATAGCCTATGTTCATTGCATATTATGTAGCTTCCCGTGGGTGTAAGAATTCTTAAAATAGGTTCAGTAGTTTTGGAACTCATCCGATGCAAACTATTAAATGTTTCTCTTTATAATATTAGTAAAGACATAGACAGAGTTTCATGGTGAAGTCGTGAGTGTTTCCGGTCTTCAACTTTCTCAAAGGTCAGTCGTAGGATGGGTCCTCAAAAATTTATTCACAAAAATTGACACTACATGCTTTTGTAGTTGTAAACACCTACCAATCCGCAATGGGCTCGCTCGCACGGTGAATTATGTCAAAATAATATGATTACTTGAGTAGTGATAATGTTTAATTAGTTTGATGATAATTATGATTATCTAAAATAAGGTAAAGTCAATAAAGTTATGTCGATGTTAGTGTATTGGTGTCGGTGTGATTTTCAAACATCATCAAAATCAATGAGAAGGTATTTAAAAAAAAAATTAAAGCACTAAAAAGCACCTCCACTAGATGGCGACTCTAGCAAAACTTGATTTTTGCAGGAAACGAATGGACCAAAGGTAGTAATTTCCGTTCCTTTTAATTAACATATTAAAAAACTGAAATTTGCAAAGTTCGGAACTTAGATATCAATACAAATACGAAAAAGTACAAATAGAATAAGAGTTGTTTATTGAGTTTTGAAAATTAATTCACTTTTAGACATGAAAGAAAATCGGAAAGGTTGTCATGGAGAAATCAAGAACGTACCGTAGCGACATCTAGTTTGATTTCGGGAACTAATTTTTTTTTTTAAATACTTCCTCATTGTGTGAGTGTCGAGACATCAACTACGTCAGTGTCGGTGACGTCGATGTAGTTGTCGTGACGTCTGAGCGAGTGTCGTGGCATCGACGTCAGTGTCGGTTACGTCGTGAGTGTCGTGGATTCGACGTCGATGAGAGTGTCGTGACATTTGTGTGAGTATCATGATATCGACGTCGATGTCGATGTATCGTCGTGAGTAACGACGATGTGAATGTCGTTACCTCTGTCCGAGTGTCATGACATCGACGTCGATGTCTGTGTGAGTGTCGCAACATCGATTCGATGTGTGTCGTGACATCTTTGTTAGTGTCAGTAATGGCAATGAGAGTGTCATGACATCGACGAGTGTCGTGACATCGACAGGGATCGGGACATCCACTTGCGTGTAGTTGAAGTCGATGTGAGTGGCATGACATCAACGTGAATGTCAGTGACATCGAGGTGAGTATCGCGACTTCGACGTGAGTGTCGCGACATCGACGTGAGTGTGAGTGTCGTGAAGTTTTTGTGAGTGTCGCGAAGTCTGTGTAAGTGTCTTGACATCGAGGTCGAAGTCGATGTGAGTGTCGGGACATCGACTTGTGTGTAGTTGAAGTCGATGTGAGTGTCGTATGAGTGTCGTGACGTCGATGTATGTGTCGTGATCGAATGAGGTAAAGTGATGTCGAAGAAGTTGTCGTGATTTTTGTCAGAGTCATGACATTATGTGAGTGTCGTGACATCGATTTCAGTGTCATATGTCATACGTTAAAGTAATGTCAGTGTCATACGTTAAAGACATCAGCGTGTGAGTGTCGTGACGTCGATGTAAGTGTAGTGACTTCTGTGCGAGTGTCAGTCCCGATACTCGCAATGACGAAACGACAACTATATTGACGTCACCGACGCTGATGTCTTTAGCGTCACGACACTGAAATCGATGTCACATTTACCGCCATGTGACGTCACTAATACCACGTAATTAGCGCCATTACATACAGCAGCGTTTTTCTCGCGATTTTGGCTATTTAAACTTTAACAATTATTTTCATCAAAAATAGAACAGATTCTCATGAAATATATTGACAGTGTGTTTATAATGTATCAAACAACCATTTTAAATAGTCTTCAGAATAACGTCAAATACCCTATTATATCCTGTTTTGTATCTTAATAAATAAAGTCTAAGACTCAAAACCAGAGTATGTTTATTTCCGCCACTTATGTTTCACTACCGAAACTATCCAATGACGGAAGTAATGCGTAATGCATATTGCGTCACGCGTCAGGTGCGTACGGGCTGTGCCTGGGCTGCTGGTTCCTGCTGGTGCCGGTGCTGCTGGCGGACGCGTTCGGCACCGCGCGCATCGCCTCCTCCTACGGGCTCGTGCGCATGTTCCAGAGCCTCGCCGCCGTCTCCGTGCCGCCCACCGCCGGTCAGTGCCGCCGCCGTACCTTTTATACATCATCGTCCCCATTGCGGGGGCTCAGGAACACTATTCTATTCTAGTCGAGCACTCGATTTTCGTTCGACATAACAAATGAGAAAGTATTTAAAAAAAAATTATTTCTCGAAATCAAACTAGATGTCGATACGGTGCTTTCTTGATTTCTCCATGATAACCCTTCCGGTTTTCTTTCATGTATAAAAGTAAATTAGTTTTCAAAACTCAATAAACAACTCATATTCTATTTGTACTTTTTCGTATTTGTATTGATATCTAAGTTTCGAACTTTGCAAATTTCAGTTTTTTAATATGTTAGTTAAAAGGAACGGAAGTGACTGTCTTTGGTCCATTCGTTTCCTGCAAAATCAACTTTTGCTAGAGTCGCTATCTAGTGTTTCTTTCATCTTTCATGCATAAAGGTTAAAAATTAATTAACCTTTATGCATGAAAGAAAACCGGAAGGGTTGTCATGGAGAAATCAAGAAAGTACCGTGGCGACATCTAGTTTGATTTCGGGAACTAATGTTTTTTTTTAAATACTTGCTCATTCGTGCGCCAGTTCGACTCGCACTTAGCTATTTTTTTGGACGTTGTCTAATCTTATGATTTTAAATTTAATATTTTACAGGACTCGTCAGAGATGTGACCGGTGGTTACTCATGGTGTTTCTACGGCATGGGATCTTGTATGGTGTTAGGTTCGATTCCCGTCATCGCCTTCTATATTCTAACCAAGAACGACGATTCAGACTCGTCGGTGGATTGAAGAAGTAAAAGATACGCTTATTGGACTGAAATTAAAATATAAACAATATTGGGTAGATTATCATTTTGGTGTAAAATCTATGTTTTAAAACAGAGATTATTAAACATGTAATGTGACGTACTAATAAAATTGGCGGGAAAATTATTGTCTATGTTTTTTTTTCTTTATTTCGAGTTAGTTCAGTTAATAACAATGATATTCGACACGAAAATTATTACAGTAAATCTTAACTAATATGCATTGTGAATATTCTTTAGCGCAGATCACAATTGCGTTAAAAATAGTCAGCTTTATTTTAATAAATGTAAGGTGTAAAATAAAACGCATGCGTGGATATTGGTGGATCGTTTGATGGTCTGATTCTTGAAGCATTCTGATTGGTCGACATTAGAAGTGCTTCAATATTTATTAGAGATGCGCCGAATATTCGTTCGGTAATTGGTATTCTGCGTATTCGGTATTTTTTTTACTATTTGTATTCGGCCGCATTATCGGTTTTACGGAATGATCGGTGTTAGTACTATACAGTGGCTACACGACACTGTACAGTACTAAAAGACAGAACTTCTTATGTAAGATTTATGTTATATTATATATAAGTCAAAGAAATGCTATGAAAAATGTATTCAATAAAGTTAATAAAATAAATCAATTAAAATTCAAATCAACATTTGTTTTTAAATCTGTTTACGCGTCAAAATAGTGAAATGATAGACCGAATATCCGGTTTCACTATTAGGCGCATCTCTAAAATTCACATTAAAGACACATCAGTTGTATCTTACTGTAAATTAAAGAAAGATATTATTTGAGATTTACTGTACAATTGTTCTTAAATGTTGTGATTGATGTAATAGATATTTAATATTTAGTATTTTATAATAATTATCGAAACCGGTATGCAAATTTAAAGACATCGCTATCACAATTAAAATTAAAAAAAAAAATACGTCAAATTGATCGATGTTTAAAACAAGGGAATTACAATTACTTATTTAAATTCATAATAACTCTGAAACAGTTTTAGTTTGAATTTTCTTTTTAGAAAATAAGATAATAATATTTATTTGTATATTAAACTATTTTTTGCTTGTAATTTACATGTATACTACATGGTGTATGTAGTTAAACTAAAAAGTAGGTAGAATTGATTGATTAAAAAAATTCACATCGATCGAGTCCGCAATTGATTTTCAACTCTAAAGTTTAAAATCAATTGCGAAATTTGAAAGATTTGTTTATAAAAATTTTGTACCATATCCTCATTCCTTGTTCTATTTGAGTGAACAGACAGGGAGGTAGATATTATGTTTTTAATTTTAATTTAGAGATGAGAAAGAGAACTCCTTTGTATCGATAATAATAAAATGGAGTGTAGAATTTTTGGTCAACATCGAGTTATTTGACCTACATAGGAAAATAAGAACAGAACATGTACTTGACATGTTTTGATGAAAAGAGTGTTCATTGATAACTTAAAAGCCCTTTATTAATTTAGATGTGAAATAAAACGCCAATATGCACTCATTAGATTATTGTAAACATCTAATAGTTTTCAAATTCAAATTACAAAGTAATCAAGTTTAACATTGGACATAGAAATATTAGACAACTGTGTAATATTTCTGTCTCTCTTGTGCTGTTGATAATGCTATATTATTAAAGTTAGTAGCGGTCCAGAATGCTAATTGAAGTTTTAGTTCTAGAGGGTTCGTAAGTGAAAATTTTATCATGAAAAGGGATGAACACGTAGAAACTGATGCACCTAAATGGGTTGACTTAACCTACTATCTCTAGCGTTTATGATACAATGTCACGATTATATCATTTTTCTTGGCATTAGGTGTGTATATTAATTTGAATCGAGTTTTCTTATATCTTTAATCTTTTTATGAATCAATGTTTTCATATTCTTTTAAATGATTTCCGTTTTTGACGTAATATAATTAACACATTTAACTATGGACTCTGTTTAATTTAAGTTTAATAAGTATCGTATCAAACATTGGACCAGCCATTTTTCAATATCAAAATTTCCGAATTTAAACAAAAAGGTATTTCGAATTAACCATAACTGTAGTTGAATATATTGATAATAAATCGATATGAGATAATAAATATATATATCTATGAAATTATATCCCTCTCCGTTTACAAAATGGATAAAATTAATGTAACAACTCTTAATTTTAAAATATAAAGGACTAATTGCAATATCATATGATGACAAATTGCAAGATACGACTTTATTGAGCCACCAGATTATTACATATGAATCCATGTACAGTTAAATATTAATTGCTTGGGAAGTTTTAAATAAGCAGTATTCAATCAAACTAAATTATCCTTTTGTATTTGTAAAAAGCCAAGTCCAAGGAAAATTTATTATATTATATTATTTTGAGATAATATAAAAATAGTACTGTAAAGTTACTGAGTTTATTTACCACAAAAATATTTTTTTCCGCTTACAATATTAGAGATTAATTGGAAAAAAAAAATTGATATAAATTTTACTGAAATGGGATTAACGAATGCGTTGTAACTCGGTCGAAATATCGGGAAATATAGGTAAGTAGGTGAAATATTCGCCTATACGTGTTAATACTCCTTCCTTACAATTTATTGCAATTACAATGTAAAGCGTAAGTTAAAAAATCTGACCTGTTGACTGCACTATTTAAGTAGTTTTAGTTTACCTTCCACACTTTTAGTTGTAATAATAATAGCAGTCCTTATCTATCAACATAAGATATATTACGTATCTTATTATATGCTATTACAGTGACGCCAGCAAAGCTTTCCTTGACATCTGCGAGTGAGAAAAATCGCTGCAAAAGTGGATATCAGACTACATTAATATGATGATCGGCATAAGCCACATATTTAATATAAAAATATATATATATATATATATTTATTCAACATACTTAGTACCAATTTGGTTAGTAACTTAAAATATCTGAGGCGTCACAATGCATTTAAGACTGGAGTTACTTACGTTTAAAAGACATTGGGAGGGTTAAGTTCTAGTTGGTCAGTGTCACTGCTATAGCATTTAATAAGAACTGTTATAAAACAAATAACGATTGTTTGGAACCATTTTACATGAAAATATAATCCAATCGATGTGTTCAATTCTGTGCAGGTAATTTAACCTCCAAACTTGATGTGCAATGAACTGGAATGTAAGACTGTTTCACTTTTAACCGCATTCAGTATTGCTTTCTATTGTCTTCGCGACGCGGTTAAAAATGAATCTAAGGCTAAATATTATATTGACTTCAGCGTTTAGCAAAACAAATGTTAAACTAAACGCTCGAATAAATACTGCAATATTATTTCAGAGTTCCTTAATGTTTTGTTTGATTCTGGATTTATCGATATTTTAATATCGACATCTAAGCTACTCTAGTTCTGTCAAATATGACGTTTTTATTTTTTTAATTCTTCGGACAAAAGTTTACAAAAAGAGAATGGTATGTGATTATTAAGATACGTCACAGTGTGGCTTCTAGTAGCATATTCGCTTCTGTGTGTACCTATTGAAAATAATACTTTAAGTTTCAAACGGTATCACCGCCATTTAAATCGCAATTAGGTATTTTTTGCCTGTCCAAATGGCTGTCAAAATGGCAAATTGCAAAAATGGCTGTCATATCCTTTGAATTCGGGGCAGAAATATATTCATGTTTAAGAAAAACACAATTTTCGACTTGTTTATGATATCAACCGTAGCGGATGTAATTATTTTTTTCATTGTAATTCAAAGTAATATTTCAGCGTTATTAACGCTTAAATGTGATTTTAAAAAATCAAAATGTTAACTACAAATAACGTTCCTCTTCAGAGCGCTATTTTTACAATAATTAGTTTCTAAACGTATCTGTCATATAAATGTCACAAGAAACATTACTTAACATAAGGCTGCCAATAGACGATCAATCCGGCGTCAGTTCAACTCGCGAATTTGGTTAGATCGATAATTTGGTGCTAATTGATGCTAGAATGATTCATGCGTCTTTTATATTGCAGAATAAGTTCTTTTTGTTTTCAGAAATCTGATGGCAATCTATTTCATCTTGCAAATGTTGTCAATCTGTCAACGACAATTTTTTTTTTCTTATTACTTCGTGTGAAATAAGATTTTTTGGAAAATTTAAGTCATCGTGGTATGTATTCAATAAATCTGTACATGAAATGATTTAATTTCGATAATTAAT